AAAAAAAAAAAAAAAAAACACTCGAACCCAAGGTGATTCCATTTGCTTGGGGTCCAATCCATGATGTCTGAGCTTACGTTATCACAGTGGGGTCTTGATCATTGAAGGAGTTCAGGTGTTCCCACAAACAAGAGATGGACCATTTACCAAAAACAAAAAACAAAAAACAAGAGGTGGACCAACGGACAGGACCACCGGGTCCACACACTATCCAACCAGGCCATCAGCACCGTCCATATAACTCCAGAAGATGCGACCAATGGTACTGTAGCATGAATGCCACTTAGTCCCATGACAAATGTGGGCCATGCCCAGCTCAAAAGTGCAGAGAAAAAGTAGGGTCCCTTCGATTTTGTACTAATCTTTTTCCACCACCAGTGTCGCGTCGGCACAGCCCACATTTGACCCTTATCGTGCTCAATTCTTGTCTTTTTGCTGGAAATGTGAAGCTCTAGGTCATGACCCTTTCACATTTGCGCGTGGATCCAATTTAGTCTTTTCCAAATCTTAGCTAGATTCACATTAGGTATATCAATAGGTCAATGTCTTAGAAAATTATAACGAGCCTAGCTTTTAACAAACTAAATTCAAGATTAGAGCTATAGTGCTATTTTAATTACTTGAAAGATGCATTAATTTATATACATTTATTATTTTAATCTTAATATGTAATGTTTAAAGGTATCTTCTCATTAGAATAATACATTTAAAAAATATATTATAATTTTAAAACTAAATTGTTACCATCAAAATTTAAGGAATGAATTGAATGTGAAATTATTAGTAACAATGGCTAGGGGATGCAGGGACAAGCGTCGACAACTTTGTCCCAATCTCTCTTCCCCCATCTCCAAAGAACTTGTCAAGCAAGTTTGTGGAAATTCCAGCTTGTCATCCAAGCGTATAATTTGGTCAAAAAAATGTAGTGGGGTAATCAGAAACTTAAAAGTTCACAACTCAAAACACAAGCCAAGAAGATCTGGTCAAACAATGTTCTTTTGTGAGAAGCAGTACTATTATTTTTCCATGTTATCTGGACTTTTCAATATCAAGACTATGAGTCGACCAATCCAAAGCCCTTAAGTAAATATCGTTGTAATAACATAAGATTTGGTTTAACCAAATTAACTAACATGGGGATTTGATTGTCCAGCTGGCAACCAAGGCAGAAATTTTATAGATCCGGGGAGGGGTTTTACTACTAGTGCCTGCATTAATATAAGTGCTTCAAATTAACAATTTATTATTCAAGTTAATATTTTAAGGGACATTATCATTTTTAAAGTTTTGAAAATCACAACGTTGATAAAATTGTTAGAAAAATCCAGATAATAACTTAATGGTACTTTGACTTATTGATTTTAATTATGAGAGATAAATTTTGTTTATGTAGTAACAAGACTATAATTCTCTATAAATTTTTTGAATCATGTTTTTATCGAGTTTAAACACGTGGATATTGACATATAGTTTTTGAAGCCTTTGAGATTGAGCCATTATAAAAAAGGGATGTTGTCTATAAATTCCCTCCTAATTATTTGTTTATTTTTGAAAAATGGAATTTTGCAATTAAAAACTAGACCAGCTGTTTTTGTTAAATTTCCCTATGTTTGGCTTGTTCTTGTTGGACAAGAAAGAAATTTTCAGTGAGGATTCTGTTTAGGTATTATATCAGATTTTTAATTTATTAATGTAAATAAGGTTAATTCTAATTTCAAACTTATAAAATGGTCAAGAAAGTTAACGGGAAAGTTAAGTGAAGTGGGAAATACGTTGGATTAATTCATCACTAAGTCATCAAGAAAGCATGCATGTTTGGCTGTTGAATTGATCATAATACAGTAACCATAATACATTTTTTCCTTAAAATTAGTTGACTAATTGTTGTGTTTAATTATGTTCTTATAACCAAGAACAAAAATCATAAAAAGAAAAAAAAAAAAACATGTTTATAATTCGAAGTGCTAATTACCAAGACATGATTAATTATGATCCCAAAGGAAAAGACCAAACAATTTCATCTTATATATGCAGAAACGGTTGTCTTTAGTGACGATGCAGATATCCGAGAGATTTCTTCTGCATACCGCAGCATGAATGTCCTAATTATATGCACTGGCCGATGTCCAACCCATGAATGAAATTATGATGTGCAATTAGACATATCATTGTCTAATCAACTTTTTTAGAAGATTAAGTAATGCCTAACTTGTTTGCACATTCCAAATTAATTAGAGCCCACTTCTTCAGGCTGGCCAAAAGAGAGACCAAATTAGAAAATTTGTGATGAATTGTGTCACCTCTTCTAACTCCTAATAAATGGTAATGGATGAAAAATATAATTAGTCAATTGAACAATTGTAATGCAGACATCACAGGTATCATCATCACCTAGATATTTTTGTCCGGACAAATCTAATCACCTACCACACATTTTAACACAACTAAAGAACATATTTGGCCTATCCTACGTTTTCGCACTATCTTAAAACTAAACAACCAATCTAGTAATTTCATGGGCTTTAAGATTAGTTGTGCCACGCCATTGGCTTTGATATCACTTTATTGGGGGACAATTGGCCTACTAAGGAAACATTTGGTAGCTTATCATGCGTTTTGATACCATTTTGAAACCAAAAGACTAATTTAGTGATTTCAAAAGTTTTGACATATTTAAATTGTTCATCACTTATATATTTTCTAATGTAGTACTCTAAATTATTCACACTCACAAAAAAAACAATTTATTTTAACAATTTCTCCTCAAGGATATAATTTTTCTAAAATAGAGTTTGATGGGATGTCAATTGCACTAAAAGCCTGTGCTTCAGCTCAAGAACTTCGTTCGATGCTACCTTACACCTACTAAGGAAGCTGGCATCTGCAATAAGCAATGCTCACCACCAAGCGCTAACCATATACCTTAATGGATATATAGGCAAGATAGCATTACCATTTTCTTTAATCTCGACTCCATATTATATATATTCCCATGGCTCAATGACTTCATTTTGGTGATTAATAATAACCTCTGTTTTATATAATAAATTTTTAAGCGCCTATAGCACAAGTTTTTCCCTAGTATGTAAGGTCCACTGGTTGCCACATGACGTTTACCAGTATGAACCATACATATAATGCCATAGCTGTTACTGGTTCCAAGAAAGAATGCCCGCCAATGTTTTCAGTAGCCCCAATTCCAACCATCAAGAAATTCATATGTTAGCCTCACTTATCCCATATAAGCCTCATTCAACATAACTTAAGGATTAAGATAAGGTTTCGTTAATCTGACAAATGCTAGGCGAACCCGGCCAATACCAGAAATTAGCCTTTCTCTAAATAAATCTAGTTATTTGCATCTAGGTTGTGATAATTCAACAAACCCTAGGCTGAATCCAACATCACAATCGTTACCACAAATAGATATACAGATGATTGAGTTGAAAAATTACAAAAGATTAGGTAGGGAGACCATGGATGTACTCAATTAAGGGAAAAGTAATTTATGAATGACATATTTTTAAAGTTATTATCACACCTTAAATAGTTAATATATGTCACACTTTTTTTTTACTAATCCCTTGATATTTGAAAGTCACATTAGAATTTAATTAATTCAGAATCTAATTAATTCAGAATCAAGTCCATTATTTAGTGTTTACCATGGGAGAAGTCCTCTCAACACTTATTTTTTTATTTATAAAATTTAAACTTAAGATCTTATTTAAGAATAATTGAACTCTTTTTATTTGAATCAACAAATTATTAGTCACACCCTTTTAATATAATTGTTTATTATACTTTATATTGCACTTTTTCTTAAAATTCTATGTATTTTTTTTTATTTTTTTAATTAAAAATTATAATATTTAATTAAAATAAAAAAATATAATATTAATAATTAAAAATGTAGTAATAACATCACTACCTTATAATGCCTTTTGATTTTAAGGAAGCCTCCTTTAAAGGATTCCGGGTATAGAAAGCCCCCTTTGTTTGATCTCATTGCCTTTCTTCATTGAAGAAAATCATCGACCAATTGGCCAGCGCTTTTACTTCTTCTCTCCGATTTTTTGTGGTTCTCTCTGCGCGAGGGTTTTTTTATCTTTATTTCTATTTTTGTGAAGAAGATGAAAATCAATTGACCATGATAAGAATCTCCCAGGAATGTAATTATCCTAGCAGTTTCGTTGACATTTATTTCTATGAAAGTATGAATATATTAGGTGAGTAATAATAGATCAAAAGCTAAACGTGGAAAACTGGAGGTTTTCTTTTGTGTCAAAGTGCATTTAACCCCTAAATCCTAAATATTTGATTTCATCTGATATGGTGAACAGTGAATGCAAGCAAAAATAAGTGTAAACATGATCCTAGTTGGGAACAATGAAAAAGTATGGTTTTGAGGGGTGAGCACTGCTGGGAGACAAACTGTTTTCCCAGTTGATAAGAATTTGATTCCTTTTTGGAGTTGGTCCTTTGCACAATTGATTCCTGAGCAACGTATTCATTCTCCTCACAATCTTCATCAACCATCTGCTGCTTTGGATCAAAAGCTTCCTTAGATGTTCTATAATCATGCATCTTCCAGAACCAGAGAGTCACTATCATTACAACATGGCCTGAGAGCAGCATCTTAGATGTTTGCTGCTTCATTGGTTGACAATTGAGATTTCTCCTTTATCACCTAGGTGATAAAGGAGAAATCTCAATTGTCAACCAATGAAGCAGCAAACATCTAAGATGCTGCTCTCCTGCATCCATTTGGATATAACAAAAATGGCATTTTCAGCATATTTTCTTTCAAAAATTGTCCAACAATGATACAAAAAGAAGATGAAACATTTTCTTTCATTTTTTTTTACCACAACCTCTGTAAAATCCATATTGCCTTCCTCAAGTAATGAAGTGAATCCTTTGAAATTCTCTTCTCTAGGTCGATAATGATCACTGTGAGACCAAACTACCTGTTCAAGTGACAAAAAATCATCATTAGGAAACCTTTTCAACACAAAAAGAGAACTAAAGCAGTAAATTAAGCCAAGGGTACGAAGATGTATAATTCAACCACGTGGTGCTACCCATGACAACCACTACAAACCACAAATGTTAGAAAAATTACACATTAATATAAGGCTGTATAAAATGTGTGTTTAATTTGATTGATATTTGATATTTTATTAGATGATTAAATTTTTAATAAAATAATTAGTTATAATTTTTTAACACCATTAACTTGTAAGTTGATTTTAATATATTTAATAATAAAATATCAAATTATTTTATTATCAATTACTAATTATTTTTCACAATTAAATCAGAATTAGCTAGCTTTGTTTTGTTTCTGCATTAATTACTAGGATTTGGAGCTTTAGAAGACGGTAATGTCTATTTCAGAATACTAGAATCCAGCCTCAACTATATGGGTGTGCTGTAATGGCCCAAATAAAAAAAGAAGCCCAGTTTCTTACATTTGGGAGCCACCTTTTTTTTTTCTTTTTTTTCTTTTTTCTCCTCATTGATGTAGTGATGATTATTCTTATTTTATCCACCCCACATGCATGCAATTCAAATAATAAATCTTAAGACTTTCAATTTAAAGCTAATTACCATTAAACTATAACTATTTATGCGGTTGGCATTTAGGGTAGGTTGGTATATCGGTTTGGAGGTAGCAGTTAAAGATTTTGTTCAAATTGTTAGGAATTGGTGTTTAATAAATTTATTTGTTTCGAAACTGTTATGAACTAAGTGTTTGTTAAAACTGTTATAAACTAAGTGTTTGTTAAAACTTTTTATTTTGAAGTTTGGGATTAGCGGGTAATAGTTAGGGTCCAAACCACTAGTGGATTGAAAAAGTTACCTAACATAACTTTTTATACCAAATCACTAGCGGATTGGAATTTCTTAATTTTATTGATAAATTTATCCTTTTTAATTTTTAACTACATCTTCTAATTAGCACTTATCTAATTAATTTCAACTTTATTTTTTATCTTAGTAATATTAAGTAATTAATATATTTTTATTTTTACATTAATTCATCATAAAAATTATATTAACTAAATAAACAAAATTTGCTAATTAGAAAAAAAGATTAAAATTTTTTATACTTTATTTAAAATTAATATAATTTTTTCTTTATTAAAAATAAAAATTAGTATATGATTACACTATTATAATTTATTTATTTATTATTATGATTATTTTTACAAAATTAATAATTTTAATAATAAAAATATAAAAAATACATATAATTGTTTTTAAACAAGTTCTTATCAATCATTTAATTTAAAATAACAACCACTAATTATTGTATAATCAAACAGTTATATTAATCAAATCTATTATTTATTATCCGTTATCCACTTTTTACTATTTGTCATCAACTACCCGCTTTTTTGCTATTTGTCATCAACTATCTCTTAACTGCCACCCATTACCCACTGCTGTTATCCATCATCTGCTACCCACTACTCATTATTCGTTGAATTTTAATTATTGTACCAAACAAGCCCTTAGTATGTTTTTTTGGTACAATAGAAAGTATTTTACAAGGAGAAATTTTGGTAGAACCTAATGAATGGTGTTGTAGACACCGTATTGGCCACATCTTAGTAAGCTTTTGATGATAACTAGAATTATATTCCAGCGTTTTAGTTAAGACTACTTTTTTTTTGTAGTAAATCTTTCAAAATCCAAAAATTATGTTGGACCTTAACTAATTCAGAGTTAAACCATGTTGAAGAGAAACTCTTTTAATACATGTTTCCCTATTTACAAAACTAAAAATTTGAGATCTTATATAAAAAAATCAAGTTCTTCCTATTTAAATCAATAAGTCATTGTTAGACTATTAACTAATTAATATTGTTTTTACATTAATTCCTTGGAGTTTAGAAATTAGAAATTTAGAACACAGCAATGCCCAACTCGGATTCCTAGAATCCAGCCTCAACTAGATGGGTTTTAAATGTTCTGTAACGGCCCAAATTAAACACAATTGAAGTTGAAGTCTTGAAGCCCAGTTTCTTTCATTTCTGAGATTTTATGTTCACACAGGTAACGCGGCTGAATTGCTTTGAAGATGCAGCAACAAGTGTTAGGTAGCACAGTGATGCAAACCAGTCAAAATACAAGGAAGAAGATATAAGATGAAAGAGAAGAGAAGAAGAAAGAAGAGCTGCGAGCTCGAGGAAGAAGCATGGAAGAACCAGATAAAGGGAGAAAGAAGTCCATGGAGAGAAGATTTAGATTCATATAATTCAACAACAACCAAACATACAGCCTTAGCTCTTTATGTAGAGGGCTTTACACAATCAACTGCAGCTTAATCCTATTCTAACTACTCAGGGTGTTGTGTAAGTGGCAGAGCGTATCCACTGAAATTCTCATTGCACTGATTCGTTGAAACAAAAGTAAAATAAAATAATCTATCCTGATTATCAGGCACATGCTTAATTGAAAATGTGTTATACACTGGGAGATGCACCAACCAATAATTCTTTCAACAAAGCAAAGACTGTATTCTGTAAGGAATGCTTCTTTGCCATAAATTACTACTGGGTATATATAGCTTCTTGTTATTTCCTCACTATAATGTGACGGAGAATTTGATTTCTTTTCCGGGTTGGCCCTTAGCAGAATTGATTCCTGCATAATGGTTTCAATCTCTTTACAACTTTCATCAACTATCTGCTGTTTTGGAGTAAAAACTTCCTCTGATGTTCCACACACATCTTCGACCAGAGAGTTCATTGAAGAATCATTACAAATTGGCCCAACAGCTAAATGGTCATTTTGTAACCTTAACCCTCCAATCATTTCATCCTTTTTTGGTATTTCAAGACGAGTCATATTTTCGCTAGGGTTGTGCAACCTCTTTGTCTTGGAACGCTCAAGTGCTACCATAACTTCTTCTACTGAATCGGTTTTCTCTTGGACCAAGTCTTTAAGATTGATCACTTCAGTCCCTAAGATATTCAATGCTATTGCCACTTCCTTCTCAGATGAGCTGTATTTTTGGTTGCCAACTGAGCTAGTCATCTGAATATAACAAAAGAAGTAATCAGCATATTCTCTTAAATTTCTCTGACAGTGATACAAAGGGCATATAAAACATTTTCTTTCACCAATTTACCTTAACATCCGTAAGATCCACATTGTTCTCCCTAAGAAATGAAATGAAGTCCTTCAAATTCTTCATTTTAGGTCTGTAGTGACTACTGTGAGGCCAAACTGCCTATTGAAAGTAACAAAAAGAGAGAGAGAAAAAAAAAAAGGGACCATCGTTAGGAAAAATTTTCAACACAAAAGGAGCACTACAGCACTAAACCAGGCCAAGCAATGAGATGTATAAACAGCTACTATGTTACAACTATACCTTAAGGACTCCATATTCAACAACTAATGTTCCAGCAGCAATTGTGGCTCCTCCAGCCAAGAAGCTCGAGTGTTGAAATGTACCTTTCTTCTTCTGGCCAACATACAAGGTCTTTGATGTGCTAAGGACAAACATCCACTTAGAATCCCCAGTTGTGTGAAGGAGCTCCCCTGTTTGCTTGAGTAAGAATTTTCCATCATCAACAACTACTTCATGGGCTATCCTTTCCATCTGTAAAATGGAAAAATGTTACTAAAGGTTTGAACACAAATAAGGATAAAGTTTGATGAAGAAAAGAAAAAAATGGCTCACAGGACCGAGGTACTTGATGCACTGTTGTTGAAGTTTTGATCTAGGGCACATTTCGATAAGATCCAATTCTTTCCCTTCCCCAAAATCCAACCTGCATTTTAAAAAAGCATACATATTAATTTTCAGCTTAACTTTCTTGATCCAAATGTCACATTTCCAACTAGTTCAGGAAAAGACTTTTGGTCAAAGAAACTTACCAGTAGAAGAAGGGTTCTTTACTATTAGAA